ATGGAAATAGGCAATTATTGGGATAGAATTACTGTGCTTTAATTAATATATTGTTATTATAACTATTTGGATTGTTTATTGACTTATTGAATGATAACTGCTTACTGTATGTTTTTATCATTGTAATTATGTTATGGTTGTATTTTAACTGTTTTTAACTCTTGGAATGCACTGTGGTATAGAGTGCAATAAAATGATGATGATGATGTTGTTGTCGTTGTCATGAAAAATTAATAGGATTCTGACTACAGAATTCCCGGAAGTTTTAATTGGCTGCCCCCTATGAAGGCACCATAAGTTGTTGAAGGTAAAAAAAAGGTGGCTTCTAAGATTGTACTGACCTCATTACCCTTTGGACCAGGGAAACCCATCACACCTGGTTGACCTCGTGGACCTGCTGGGCCTGGAGGACCACTTCGCCCTGATTCTCCTGGCGGGCCCTGTTACAAAGAAAAAAGCACTGAGGAAATAATTGCACAAAGAAATCAATAAAGAAATATGGGAATTCCCACAGATGATACCAGAATGGTGACTCAAACATTGGACCACAAGTACACTATCTTGTCATTTTTGGTAACCACTATTTTTTTTACTTTTATTTTTTTAAAAAAAAAATTAATGCAGAGAAAATAAACTTTTATTTGAAAGTATTTGGTGTTCCCTTGGGTGTAATATAAATAGGCTAGCAGTTCTGTTAGGTAAAAGTGAACTGGAAGGTTTTGCTAGAATCACCTTCGAGCAAACCAGTCATCATCATCACCTCAGAACTGCAGAGCTAGAAAGGACCCTCAAGTTCACCCCTCTATAAAGGAGACACAGTGGGGAGAATCAAACTCCCAGTCTCTGGCTCTGCAGCCAGATGCCTAAACATCCAGTAGATTGAATGATATTCCTTCTACGGAAGGTAATATAAAAGGTAATATAAAAGACAAGCAAGAAACACAGATGGCTTATGGACCAAGTCAGGGGTCATCTCAGCTAAAAGTGTTATGGGGAAGAGGCACTCAGTCATAACCCCCCCGCCCAATGAGAGATGCGTGATATTGTTTACGTACAGAAGGGCCTGGTTTTCCATCTGATCCTGGGGCTCCTGGACTTCCTGTTAAGCCCTGTATGAAAATACAAAAACAACATTTGCATATGAAATGTATCTTGTTAAGGACATTTTGAGGAGCCATTTCAAGTTCTCATGTGTTAATCTTTTAAAAATATTTTTCTTTATGAATCATATAGGAGCTTGAGATTGAACTGGGAAATAAAAACGGGTAGACTTGTAACTTTAAGGTTTGCTCTGCAGCAAAGTTTGAAGAAATATATGAAGGCATGAAAAGCAATGCATTTCTCTTAAAGGAAACAGTCCTGATATTATCTACCTGAGCTACGGAGTACATTGTACTGGTCTTGGGTTGCTTGCCAGTAGTTATCTAAGTTAACTGGAGGAGTAGACAAGGCTTCCTAGTTGAATCTCCATCTTTGACTTCCTCTTGTATTTTCTGAATGTCTTGGATCCTCCCCAAATGGAAAGGCAAAAAGACCCCATATGAGGTGGTCAAATTGTATCTGGGGGCATCTCTGTATGTGGTGAACTGGAGTGGGCAGGATCAGGCTAAGTAGAGTCACTGGGAGGTGCAGTGTGCCATTTGGGATGATCATTGCATCCAAATAGCATATGGACCTCAGGTGACCCTCTTTGGTCCACAGCAGCCTGCTCTCAATTTGCCAATATTGTGAAGTGACTTAAGAGAGTCACTTTACAACATTAGAAAATTAAACATTCTCTCAGTGCCGATATCTTGAAGCTAATTTGCCAATATTGTGAAGTGGCTTAAGAGAGTCACTTTACAATATTGGAGTATTAAAGCACTTTCTCAGTGCCCTTTAATTTGCCGATATCCTGAAGTCGCTTTATTCATGATATTGGCAAATTAAAAGAAGAAGAATCCCTTTGGTCTATTTCTAGCCATTATGTGCACTAGAAATGGACCAAAATAGAGAGATTCTACCTGCACCAATAAAGTAGAAGCCCCCGAGAGGTGCCAGAAAGGCTTTATTCATGATATTGGCAAATTAAAAGAGGGAGAGTCCCTTTGGTCTATCTCTAGCCATTACTTGCACTGGGAATGGACCAAAACAGAGTAGAAGCCCCTGAGAGGTGCCAGAAAGATGTGGGTAGGACTGCTCTAGGGGTGGGCTGGTTTGCTGTAGGGAAATTGTCATCTAACCAGCCCATCCCTGCAGTGGACCAAACAGTGGGCTGAATGCTCACCTAGTCAGCTTCTGGGCTAAGCCTTGTCAGATTACAGGCAAGGTCCACTTGACTGAATAGTCCTCCATATTCTAAATAAATAACATATTCTGTGAAGGAGATTATTAGGCTTGATGGAACTCTTCTCTCCTAGCATCTCATCTCCCATGTAGAAGATGGCTGATTTTTTTTTTCTAAAAAGAAAGATCCAGTCATGTGTCTTCCTTCCTGCGGTCAGGAAAAGCTTTTCCTCTACTGTGAAATGGAGTTGTGTTATAAATATCAGACACTACCTTTGAAAGTGTTAACTGGATTATCAAAGACATGAAAAAGTAGTAAACACACACACACACACGGACGCACACATTAGTTGATTTATGCATACACATATATTTCCTATAACATGGTTTCAGGATAATATAACAGTTGTGTGAAATCTCAGAAAACTGGGTAGGGCTGTCTATTACCTGTATTGGCTTTTGGAATCTTTTTTTACTATATCTAGTTAGCTCAGTCATCCTTGATATGCAGGCAACATTTTCCATTTCCTACCCAGAAGAGGATTCAACTTACTCTCATTCCTGGAAGACCAGGGCTTCCATCTCGACCGGATTCACCCTGAATTCCTCTAGGCCCAGGACTTCCGGGACCACCTCGTTCACCAGGAGCACCCTTAAATAAAATGTAGACATAATAATTTGTATTGCAATTTGAAACAAAAATTATAAGTATTATATAAAGTGAATGAACGTTCCTTTTCTAATGAAAGAATGTACCTTTTCGCCAGGAGGTCCACTGCTACCAGCAGGACCACGGAAACCGGGGGCACCCTGAAAAGCAGAGAAAAGGAAACATTGATGGTGTGGGCCAGCAAACAAGAGAGCAAAGGAGCTGAGCAATTCCTAAAGGGATTTGTTGCGATATACAGTTGTACCTCGGTTTAGGAATGCTTCGGTTAATGTAATTTTCAGTTTACAAAGCAAAATCCATTGAAAATAATGCCTCAGTTTACTCTCTCTCTTTTTGAGTTCAAAGAAAGTTTCCCCAGGATGCATTGTGCCTGGAGGTTTATAGTGCTGCCCGTTCCTATGGCAATCCACATTTCAGTTTATGATTTTTTCATAGTATGTAACGTCCCGTAGAATACATTAATTTTGTAAACCGAGGTAGCAGTGTATTCACATCCAAGCTCAGCAGAGAAGCCAATATGTTTCTTCCGTCTTCCTTTGTGCTATTTGAAGAACGAACCTAACAGTTAACAGCATAACTTGGGGAAGAATTTCCCTTTGTGAACTGGCCTTGATGGGCTTACTGTTAATCACAATCAAAGGCTTCTTATGCTAATACAATTTGGGTTGCAATCTCACCCCTTTGTTTCCTAGGAGCAAGACCCACCAAATTCAGCGAGACTCACTTCCCGCGCCCACAGAGAGAAAGAGATTTGCATTGGACGTTTTGCTTACCCAATCAGCAAATCAAGAAGATGGGGAAGGGGGCTGTCCAAAAGTGATGCACAGAGTACTTGCCCTTTCTCCTGGGGTCCCAGGCAAACCATTTGTGCCTGGCTGGCCTGGTGCTCCAGCCTTGCCTTCTTCCCCTGGAGGTCCAGCGGAACCGGGGGTACCATTTTCTCCCTTAAAACAAAATACCATAAAAACGTTATTAACTGGTAAAACTAATGACATTGGGCGGGGGGAATACTCTAGAGAAGCATATCCTCATGGGAACAGGTTTTGTCTGAGCAGGAATTGAACGTCTAGGACCACATAACTGAAATACTTACACGTTCACCTCGTTGTCCTGGCTCGCCTTTTGCTCCATTCTTGCCAGGTTCACCCTGAAAAGAACACAGTACGGTGGACATTCATTTCAGATCGATAGACCGACCGACCGACAGACAATCGTAGAACTGCAGAGCTGGAAGGGAACCTATTGATCTTTGAGTCCAGCCCCTGTTCAGGAGGAATCGAACTCCCAACCTGTGAGTTCATATCTAAACCACTGAACTATCCAGCAAGTCAGTCATGTCCACGTCTGTAATGTCATAGGCAATGCTATATTATGCCACAGATAATAAACTGATTAATAATATGACAGAATATGTTCTGGATGATGGGCTCATTCAATATACCCATGTATGTTAATAATATACACAGGTCAACTGCTTCCTGAACCCACATTAATCTAAAACGGTTATGCCCATTTTCTGCAAATTCATTCCCAGCGCTCTCACAATTTGATGAGGAGCCTGATTAAATATGAATTGTTCAGGCTGGTCACAGGTTCACGAAGGATTTTAGGTTCATACTCGTGGGCGGTTACTTTGGCTTGGATCCAAAGGACCGTTTTACAGAAGAAGAAACAGATCGTTCGGTGAACCCTTGTGCTAGCCGTAACGGAAAAGTTCCCAAAGCGCTGCATGCCAAGGCACTGGAGGGTTAGGCTGCGTTGAGTAAGGAAGCTACAGCTTCACATCTGTAAGCAAAGGTGGTCTGTTTAAAGGTCTTGAAGAAGAACTTGCAAGAGCTTATGCAAATGGAAGAATAAAGTGGTGCCTCGCTTAATGGGCGCCCCGTTTAATGACGAAATCACATCGCGATTAACTTTTTGTGATCGCTTTTACGATCGCTTTGCGATGTTCCCTATGGGGAAAAATCACTTTGCGATGATCAGCACCCTGTTTCGCTTACCAATCATCGCAAAGCGATGATTTTTAACAGCTGATCAGTGGTTCCAAAATGGCCGCTGGGTAAAAAAAATATGGCTGCCCACTGTTTTCTGGGACAGATTCCTCGCTTACCAGGCAGCAAAAATGGCCACCGTATGGATGTTTTTCACTTAAACGTGAGTCTGAAGTCCATAGGAACGCATTGAAGGGGTTTCAATGCATTCCTCTGGGCTTTTTAATATTGCATAGCGACAAAGTCACTTTGCAGTGATTTTTGCTGCACCGATTATTGTCACTATGTGAGGCACCACTGTACTATCATTTTCTATGCTCTTCAGCTACTGTAAACAGGTCTTTTATTTTTTTGACCAAAGAAGGATCTCAGCTGGAGGAGGGTTTCTCTTTCAGTTTGGGTGCTTCAAGGTTAATGGCTTGTTCTCACATGCAAATTCATTACCCAACCTGCATATATAAGTGAGCCATCAGAGATTAAACACATCCCCAGTATTATATAATTTATTTTCACCCCAATACAATGTTTTCTTTTCTCTATGATTTTCAGGCCTACTTCTAGTTACAACACATTCAATGTTAGGTTAGCTGGGGAAACTGTCGGTAAATTAAGGGATAACAAATTATCCTTCTTTAGACATGAATTAAGCATATTGTCAACAAGCTCCTCTTCTTAAAAGATGGATGGCATCAAGGTATAATTTCACCCAAAACACACTGGAAAAAGTGGTATATTTTGAATTTTGCCAGCGCAGAGGGGGAAGAATGTAATTCAGCTTGGTTCCCCATCCCAGGAATTGACTCAAATCAACACATTTCTCCATAGAAGGACAGAAACAACATGGGATTTTGAAGAAAGAACAAGGAAGGTGCAAGAAATTGAAGCTGATAAGATTCATTCATCTCTTAACACAGACATGAAGAGTCTGATGATGACTTACAGATGGGCCTCTTTGTCCAGGGATTCCATTCGTCCCAGGTGGGCCAGGAGGACCACGGGCTCCACTTAGCCCTGGAGGGCCAGAAATGCCAGCAGTGCCCTGTGTGGAAATGAGCACATTCAGACGAACAGCCCTAAGCAATGAGGTATAACCTTCTAGCAAGGACCTAAGTCAACGCCATAGTCAAGACTGTTTGGCACTGAAGGTATGCAGAATTGTTACCGGCATCTCATCTCATAGCTGTGCTGAGACAGGATGTCTTGACCGCTGACACCATGAGACAGCCAGTCAAAGAATGTCTAACTCTTGTAAGAGTCCTGGCCACGAGTTCAAGAACAGATTAACAGCTTCTCTCTACCTGACTCTTGAGCATTTTGTGCAAAATGTGTCAGAGGAGTATTAGCATGTTTGTGTCCCACTGGGGTAGCTAAGCACAAATAGCATACAGGAGGGCTGGTTGGCTGATTAAAAAGATGTAAACTTTCTGTCTACTGCTTCTATTTTAAAACAGTTATGCAGCAAGCCAACAACCATTATAGTTCTTGTGCGGTTGCAGATGTATGTAAAATTTCTCAGGATCAAGGGAGAGAGAAGTGAGGATTTACATCTCTGTTTTGCAATAAGATACTCACTGGTAGACCTTTTGCACCCGGGCTTCCATCACGTCCTGAAGGACCCTATGGAACACAAAGAACAATGTGGGCATGCATAACTATCTGTGCTACAATTTCAGTACAACACATTTTAATCTTCTTGTTGTTAACTTCCTACTGGACATTGGAAGTCATCATAGCTATTTTGCCTTTTGGAAGAACAGCTCTAGGCTATGACAGTGTATTGCACCCAATCCATTCTTTCAGTTCCACACCTTATAAGGTCTTTTCCTTTCTGCACATTTTCTCCCATTTTTAGAGATCAGCTCTAAAAATTGGACCTTTTCATTTCTCAATAGGCAAGCAAGCTAGCCTAGTCTTCTACAGTACATTTTATGTGTTACTTGATTTTTTGGGGGTCTTCATTCTCATTAGCACTTCTTTATTGATCGCCCTCTCCATCCCTCATCTTAAGAGAAATCCAGATTTTAAATACTTCTGTCCTCCACAATACTGTACCATGAATTAGTACTGTACTAAGAATCTAGCACTGCCCTGTGGAGGTTCAAGTCCAATTTTATGTTTTTGTTACATTTTAAGAGATTTTAAATAAGTTAACAAACATATATAGTTCTCTAAAGGACACAATACTTACAGGAGGACCAACGCCACCGGTCTGCCCTTGAGGACCAGGTTCTCCTCTTGGCCCAGGAGGCCCACTGGAGCCTGGGGGCCCAGAAGGGCCAGTTTCACCCTGAAAAGCAAAGAGTATGAGAACAATCAAACCAACAGTTCGGTAGCTTGAACTATTTTATTTGAGGAAGATCACAGCAGAGGGCAAACATGACATTCTGCTACATTTTGATTTATATTTTTTGTTCTTTTGAATGATAGCCATTATCCTGTTATTTTGGTATGCTGGTGCGGTCAAACAGCATAGATCACAGTACTGCATTGCTATTAATTAAATGTTCAAAGCTTGTATTGTTGATCACATGACACATCATGCAGCCAGTGAGCAAAGAGGAACATAAGCCTCAACTCCTTAACAATCACCCATTCGCTGCTCTGATTTACACTATTTAACTTAAGGTAAGTATACATAACTAATAGGATTCTGGCTGACAAGATATTATGTTTGCCCAGTTCATAGCCTATTTCCTACAAGCTATTATGCTTCTGCATTTAGATGAGATTTTAAATCTAGAGCCAAGCTATTCTAATCTACAGTTAGATACATTGCTAAAAAATATTATACAACTTTTTAAAAAAAAACATTGGATTATGATAAAAGAACTACTCAGAGAAAATTACGCTATTACTAGAGTGAGAAATCACACACACAAAAGCTACATTTGATAAAATGCTTCTACTCCCTTCCTAATTTAAGCAACTTCATTTCAACTAAGCCTAGGTAATGGGTTTAGGGTTACAGATGCATATATTAAACACATATTTACAGAGAAACAGATAAATATATTTCTAGAGATACCTTGAAACCTGGAGAACCTGGAAATCCTGAAGGTCCAGGAGGGCCTGGAGGGCCCTGAAATAAAAAGCAGGACATAAATAGGTCAATGTCACTATTTAAAAGAACTTCAGTTATTTTGTATCATACCCTTACAATTTAAACCCAACTATAATCGTGCTAGTGTTTGTATAATGTTTGCACAAGTCATTGTGCCTCATTGATAAGGTATCTGGGTGCATCTTGGGCACATGGAAAGTCATGTACCCAAATAAGCAACCAAGCTACGCCCCTGCACCTGAGCAATTAGCAGCAATTAGCCATGGCATTATATGGAAACCTTACACAAGCACCAGTTATAAATTGGCTATTGTTTCATTAAAAATAGTAGTAGTACAATATAATGTTACTTACAGGTTGGCCAGCTGCTCCAGGAGAACCATCATTACCACGAGAACCCTTTGAACAAAATTAAATATGTCAGAAAACTTGCTGCAGAACACTCCTACTGTGTTTGGATTCAGTCGTAGGAAAATAAGTCAACAATTAATGTGCTTGATCTTCATGGTGTGCAAATTTGCTTATTATGCAAATACAGTTGCCTAAGAATAATATGCAAACGAGAGTGCCTGGATTTACAGAACTGGGATATGGCAATTCTAAGTAAAAGGCCCACTGTCTTAAAAATGCCATTCACCTGACATTATAGAGAGCACTCACATTCTTGCCCTACACACTTCACTCCTTGCAAGAATTAGTGAGGTTATCAGGGTAGATGAATCTGGGACTGAAATACGGGGGCCAACTCTGCAGAATGAGTGGAAAGGTCCCCAAACACTCCAGGCTGGCTCACCCATGACTTGAAGTGAAATAATCCTTATTAGCATCTAAGAGAAGGAAGGCCATAAGACAATTAAAGCACAAAACGTAAAACTAATTAGCCTCAGCATTGGTTGGGAGCCCATTGAAGGTGCTTTGCCCATTGGCCTAAGCTGGTAATGAAAAGGACAGTCAATACAAAGCTGTTACTTACAGCAGTTCCTGGAAGTCCTGGTCTTCCTCTTTCACCAGGTTGACCTCTTGGACCCTAATGGATAGATGTGCATTTTCAGAGAAGGAATGCCCATGAAAAACATTTTGTCTCAAAGCTTGTGTCACTGAATGGACACTTGTGAATTTTTTTTGTTAAGGAAACATCACACAACTAGGGGATCTTGAGATCTGGTATCAGCTGCCAAGCCTATTTTATTTGTCTTTCAGAATACAAGCCATGGCTCGTGTGGAGCGGAGGAGACAGGACGTACAGTATGAGTAGAGTTTGGGACAACACCATTGAACATCTCCCCCCCACCTTATTTTGTAAAATTTCTAGCCCTACATACTTGGAATATAAGGAGCTACGTATTGCTAACAGGAACTGATAATACCATGGGAGTGTTCCTTTAGGGGGACAAGGTGTGAAATCAGGCAAAAGAACCACTTGGTTGAAATATAGCTCCTTGATGCTCAAGCATCTACATGGGTGAGCAGCTGGTTTCTCAGGACAATTCAAAGTTTTCACTGTTAGAAATCCTAAATTGCCAAGGACTTGTTTCCTAAAGGTCTCTCTGTGTGTGTGTGTGGGTGGGGGGCAAATCTACTGGGGTGGGATCACTCCTCACATTTTGAGGGTGTTGGCCCAGTCACGAGCCATTCATGGGTAAAACAATATACTGTTTTCAACACACATCTGCCCATACTCTGATATCATCAGAGGTCTTATTCTGGGTACCGACACCTTCTGAGGTGAGGTAGATGGTGAATGAGGAGAGGGCTTTCTCTTTGGAGGCACTCTATTAGTGAAATTTATCTCCCCAGGTATGGTCATTTGTTGTTTATTTTGGAATGGATTCGATGCTAGGAAAATGAAATTGCTCATCTTTGATTATTTGTCCTAACACCACTGCTGATGTTATCTACAATTTCCATTCTTTGCAACAGATGCATTGTTCTTTTAATGTGTTGCCTCAATGTCTACGAACAGCATTTGTCCTACAGGGAACCCTATGGGTAAATGCCAAATTAGTCCAACGTAGAATAGAACCACTGAAATGGACACAATTTATCTATTTTTCGTGGGTGTGCTCTATGTAGAACTAACATTGATGCAAACAAACAACAATAATTATTTCATGAATGACAAACTAGACACCAGGGGATTTGATTTGTATCTTAACCTTTCATTTGTCCTATGTGGTGGAAGTGGTCTAGTATCATATATAAAAAGAATGGTGCAGGAATGAAGATAAAAATCAACTTTTCTCTGCTTAAATCATTGAGGCTTTTCAACAGCCTTTCCTCAGCATGGTTTTCATACCAACAGCCTCTTAGAGAGGCAGAAAATTGCTTAAGATTCTCCCATGCCCTCTTTCTATGTGGAAGGAGTAAGAGAACACATTGAAGATTCATATAATTCCTCTCCTCATCTCATTTGGCCATGGGACTGACCCAGGGTTTGACCGCTGACTGGGCACTAAGGCTGGCTATCCCTGACTCAGCCATGTCAGGGACCAGTATCTTGTTAATATGTAGTAATTCTCACAGTTCCAGTAACAATTCTGGATTATAGTCTCATGTCCTCCAAGCTGAATGAAAATAATAGCTCAGCTTTCTATTAACTGAGGAATTCCACAGAGCGTTAAAAAAATGTTTCCATTCCTATATTCTCAAATATGAGAATGGGAAACAAAACCATATGTTTATGGCTATTCAACAGTTCTATTATTTTTCTTTTGAAAATTGTTGTTAAATTGATGGAAGGGGGGAAATGTTACCATTGGTCCAGGGGATCCATTTTCTCCAGGAAGACCATTTTCACCCTATTTAATAAAGAGAACACCTGGTCAATATATAATATTTATTGTTTCATGTTTCTTAACAGAATGCTTGTTTCTTCAATACATAAAGATGGAGGGAGGAACCAAATGTAAACATCTTCCTTATTCTTTACTCCCCGAACAAATGAAGTTATTATAGCATAAAAATTGCCTCCCACAGCATAGGTAGGAATTTCAAACATTTACCTTTAAACCAGGAGCACCAGCATCACCTTTGGCACCATCTCTCCCATCAAAACCCTTTGTAAAAGGAAAGGAAATAAATAATATGTGAGCACTATGGCACATTAAAATGACATATTTCAAATTTCTGAAGAATTCTTGTCACTGATACATGCTTGCTCTACTCCTTTCCGACTATGGCCAGAATCGTATTGCCAATTTATACCTGGATAACGGAAATGGTGTAAATTTTGGCATCACCTTGCCACTCATTAACGAGGTGCTGGTTTCATTCCTAGAATGTGCCCAATCATGCACATATCCAGGAATCCAACTCATAGTTTGCCGATGTGCAGGAATTTGCTGTTAAGACTTGTGGAAATTGGTAGCAGGATTCTGGCCGGTACTGTATTAGAATGAAATGTTAGAGGAAAGGTAAATAGAAATACTTAAAACTGGAGGGAAATAGAATGGTTGTTCTCAAAATATCAATACACAGAGGAGTATGGACTTTCCATGCTTAACACAAATACTGTAGCATGAAATCCTACTAATTTTAGAATATTTTTTCAATTTCCCTGTTTACACCAATGAAAGTTTATTAAGACAACTAGGCTTCAGTTCAAACAAAAGTAGTTGTAATTAAGTGCCTGTTTAAACTGAGGTCTTCGGATGTCAGTAATTACAGATATGATGTCAATCAGTAAAACATTTAAGTGATTAAGCATCTTGTCAGCTGAAATAAAAGCCCTGTCCTCACTAGGCTGTGGAGAATTGTTACACAGTGATATACCTCATTAAACAGGGGGCAAAATGAAAGTAACTGCCCAAAAGTAACACAACACAACACTTACCCTGTGACCTTTCATCCCAGGCATTCCAGGCATACCAGATGGACCCTTGTGGCCCTAAATAAAAAACAAAAGGCAACAGCAGAAGAATTCAATATCCTATCTGTTAAAATGGAATATTAGAAATATTCAGAAATAGCCCCTGATCGATTTCTTAAACTTCGTATGGAAACAGAAATGAAACAAGGTTTTTCAGGTGAGCGTCCGAAAACCCCCAGAGTTGACACATTGCAGCAGAGAATACAAAATGAAATCAGGAACGTGTCCTGGGAGGACTGCTGTACGCATCCTGAGGAAAGCCGTGGCAAATGGTTAAATGGTTCAAACTTTTTAGAAGAGGTGCTCCCTCAAGTGGTTAAAGCTGTCTGACTGTCAAGGCACTTTTGGAATTCTGCAGAGGTGGTCCGAATTTACAAATGGTTTGTTTTGGATGGGAATTGAGCAAAATTCACCAATTTGAATGCAGGAAGCAAGGAAACCAACAGAACTCTCCATCTTTACCTAGGATGTAAAGCAAAGCAAAACAGAAAGACCTGTCTTTTTTTCACTCATTCCTTTCTATTTCCTCCAAACAGCTAATTATTCATAGTTAATTATCTGTGACCCAGATAATGGTTTGAAGGAGCATGATAAAAGTCTGTTTCTGAAACTGGGCCAGTCTGACTACAGGCCTGGAGCTAAAACATGGGAGGGAACGTGCTGATCTCATCCCATCGGTCCTTGCTTGGGTCACATGTGAAGTGACAGGACTGCAGAAAAGAGTCTGTTGCTTGTGATTTCCCAGGGTTCTCTGGAGAGCCTCCATTGATACAAGCAGCTCTCTTTCCCAGACCCATGATTTCCCACACAATCACAGGGATTGCAAAATAGATGGGGCTAATGTAAGGTCTTCCTTACATTTTCATAGAATACATAAATGCCTGTCTAGGTACCTATGAAGAACCCATATATAAGCCTCTCTGAGTTCTTCAGAGGGAGAGTTAGAAAAGTATAATAAATAAAATATCCAAAGCCAGCTTCCTCAACCTGCCAACTTCCAGCTGTGGAGATGATAGGCATGTAGTTGAATCCAGCTAGAGGACACCATATTGGAAGAGGCTAATCTGGAGAAACAAGTCCATAACCTATTTCTGCAAATGGGGAAAACTCTAAACGGGGGGTGGGGGGAAGCTTTCTGTTTTCAGTTGCCATTCAAATGCATGGTTTTCAACGAGAGCAGACACGTCACTCAAGGGAATCCCAATGGGACTGTAGCTGGAAACATGGGTTTATTCAACTCACAGGAGGGCCAGGCAATCCACGTTCACCAGGTCTGCCAGGTCTGCCAGATTCTCCCTACAGACAGACAAAAGAACAATCAACCAATCAGCCGGATCAGTACGCAATATTTTTCCTTGAAAAAAGAATGCAAAAAGAGAACCAAAATGATAGAAAAGCTACAAGAGATCAGCGAAATTGGGGTATATTTACAAAAAGAGTAACCATTTCTCATTGGTATTGTTGTTGTTGTTTAGTGGTTAAGTTGTGACCCCAGGCCCTCCTGTCTTCCACTGCCTCCCGGAGTTGGGTCAAATTCATGTTGGTGGCTTCAGTGACACTGTCCAATCTTCTTGTCCTTTCTCCCCTTCTCCTATTGCCTTCACACTTTCGCACATTGGTATTAGATTCCACCTATTAATTGTAGCTGATCATGTCTCACATGTCATTGCACAAAACAGCTAAGAGCCACTGGTGGCCTTCCCGTAGTTATTTCATGTGCCTGTGCAGTAAGGGCAACTTACCTCTGGCTTCCTATTTTGGATCAAAGAGAGGTCCAATAAATTTCACTTCACAGCTGGGGCAGGAACTGACCGCAGTGCAAGGACACCCAACTGACTGCCCTCTTGATGCTGTTGGACTGCAAATCCTCACTCTTAGCTGTGGTGGCTAGGGATGATGGGAGTTGCGGTCCAGCAGCGTATGGAGGGCCACATCTTTCCCAATGTCATCATGAACAGCCAATCAGCGTCTGATCGTATCTCTTTGGAATGTGACTGCTGATTAAATCAAGGTTGTTCATGACAATGACCAGACAAGATGGTAGGAGTTGCCTCAGGATCTCATGAGAAAATGTGTGTATTAATGGGGTGGGGTGTGGGTTTTTTTTTTGGTTGCACTTAAGAAATATTTTCAGTTTGGGGAAATGTGACAACTCTTCTCTTGTTGGCTGTCTGAAATAGATAGTATTGGATTGTGTTGTGTTGTACAAATTATGTTTATAAATTGTATAAATGAGGACAAATACAACATAAAAAAGACCTCTTTGGCATATCGGTCTCGTGCCGGAAATGAGATCCGATTAACAAGCAAAAGTGTCCCATACAGCTGTGGCCTTGGACTCATGAAGATGAAATTAGCTGCCTATGTGTACAGAACTACGATCACAATGAAATATTAAATCTATTAATAGATGTAATATTTCAGTGTGACCATAATCCTGTACACATGGGCATTACATTATATTCAATTATATAATGACTCTGGGAGCAAATTTCCTTTCACAGGACAATTCTGCTGACAGAGAGGGGAGTTAGGCAATTTGGCAGGAAATCTTCACTTCACAGGGCCTATTTCTGAGCTGTGGAGAAGCCTTTAGAGTAGCATGGAAGCTAGCACAAGTGGCTGTAGGAGGAAGGCAGAATTTTTCTCCCTTCCATCAGCGAGGGTTCCTGCGAACCAAAGGACTTTCCACAAATGGAAAGTGCAGGTCACAATTTGGACAATATGGCTCTGTTTCCTTTTCCCTTCCACTTCAGCCCTTTCCCCTTCTTAACAGTGTGGAAACTCTTCGGAATAATGTGATGATCAGTCCAGTAGTAAGGTCAGAGATCCCTGCTCACGGGTCTCTCCGGAGTGGTATAGGCAATGGTATTAGCACTGTGTAGGATAAAAACGTACATCTTTTCCAGAGGGGCCAGGTGGACCAATCATTCCTGGTGGACCAACGGGGCCCTGAGAAAGAAAAACAAATCAAATGTTAATTTCCCCCCACGATATATGCAGTACAAGAACTAAATAAGGAAATGTGAAATTGGAATAGCTGGATGAAACTGCCCTCCTAGTTTTAAGCCTCTAATATTAAAAATATGTTGTACCACAAAAATGGGATCCAAGGGAAAACTGATTATATTCTATGAGAAAGGATGCTTTGGAACCATCGGGGAAATCGGATGGTCCCTAATTAGATGAAGCAAGATAAGGACTGAATGGCAATATTTCCTCTAGTTTGCCACAAGAGATCACAGCTTGGGATAGCATCCTTTCTGTGGAAATGTCTGAAGGTACCTGTAGCTACAGGGGTTACGGAGAAGCCATACTATGCAAAACATGGTGGCTGTGAAATCCACCTGCAAATCACTTCCTTAGAAAGAGACTTCCACAGAGATGCCACCACTTGGTAACTCCAAAACCCACAGTTAAAATAATAATAATAAAAAACCAAAACAACGACAACAAAACAGGTAACCTCCACTCGTTCCTAAAGGTAAAATAATAAACAAACAAACAAACAAACAAAACCAAGTAACCTCCACTCATTCTTAAATAAGGTGCAGTTTCAGGCTGGTAGAATAATCATTTTGTCATCTTGCTTGTTCATTCCATGAGCAAATATTCCTCCTGAGATTCAGTCAGCTCTGCGGAACATTAACTTTAGATAAATCTGCAGAACGTTACTTCACTTAACCTAAGGGTGGAACAAACAAACAAACAAACAAAACCAAGTAACCTCCACTCATTCTTAAATAAGGTGCAGTTTCAGGCTGGTAGAATAATCATTTTGTCATCTTGCTTGTTCATTCCATGAGCAAATATTCCTCCTGAGATTCAGTCAGCTCTGCGGAACATTAACTTTAGATAAATCTGCAGAACGTTACTTCACTTAACCTAAGGGTGGTATGCATTCGACTTTTGTGAACTAAAAGAAGAATTAACTGGGTCCTCTGGGAGCGTTGTCTGGCTGTAGGGCCATTCAGTAAAAGTCACCACCGACGATGCAATCGCAAATGTGTTTGTATATCATAGTTAAATGATGATTCATCTATAAGAATTAACTGGGTCCTCTGGGAGCGTTGACTGGCTGTAGTGCCATTCAGTAAAAGTCACCATCGACCATGCAATTGCAAACACCATGTGTTTGTATATCATGGCTAAATGATGATTCATCTAGGGATGAGATTTTCAGATTTCTTGGACTACAGTTCCCATAATTCTCCATTCTGGGAGTTCTATCTGACAGGCAGACACCTTACAAATATCTACAAACAGACACTTTCTCCTAGGTGAAATATGGTTCACCTAGGAGAAAGGCCTCAGTTAGAAGGTTCTGAGACTTAGCTCTGCCTTGCTTGCTGTTCAGAAAGAAAGCCTACCTAAGCTCAAAGTCTCATGGGATTTGTAGTGCAAGAGTTCTGAAAGTTCCATCCCTAGCTTCATCCTTTCTCGTGGACATATATTTTAAAGAAACATGATTTAAAGATTTTTAAAAGGGCATTGTTAGTAGGTAAGATACAAAATGTACCAATTTCCCCCAATCCTAAAAAGCCATATTACACCTTCTGAGGGAGTTCTCGAACCCCTAGAGGAATAGGCTGAGGTAGAAGATGACTTGCTAGAAAATACTTCCCTGTCCCTTCTCTTCATGCTATTGTAAAGTTTGTAGAATTCAGCTCTAATCAAAAACCTAGATCCAACCCGCAGGACGTGAACCTTATATTGGCCCAGGTCCTCTTGCCTAGCTCTGCCAGTGTAATTTGGAAGTTGCTTAAGCCACTGTGAAATTTGCAGCATGGTGGAAATCATGTCCAGGAAGTAGTTCTACAGTTCGTGCATGGTCTGTTGTGCGGTTCATTGCACAGCTCATTGTGCAATCAGAAACAAGGACTGCCTGGATGTAGCCGCCTGTGAACTTCCGCAGGTGTAATTTCATGCTATACCAAGTGCAATAGGATTTCAGACAGTGTGCTTAGGATCATCATGCACAAATTCAACAGGTTTGTGTGGGCAAGATTTGTAGGGGCTTTCCAAACAGTGAAGTCCTTTCTTTGCTGTTCTGATCTCTGCAGATTCAGCAATCCAGAAGATGTCAGAAGTGCAGAAAGCTACGACAATGCTCTGCATGTGGAACCATGCGCCTAGGGTGGAGACAGAGAGTTGGGGCTACCTAGGTGTTCCCCTTTTGCGTTGTTCTTCTGCCCTTCCCTGGATCTTGACTTGTATGAACTTCACTTCCTGGTTCCAGATTCTTGTTCTAGATTTCCCCCAAGTATACAGTTCAGCCTCAACACACCTTTTGCTCTAAGATAGCATTTTTTTCCTTTTCTCTAAGCTGACATTTGCTGCTTAATCATTTCACTTGCCATCAGATCTCTTCTGCGAGCCAAGCAGTACTTAAAACCAGAGAAATAAAAAAGCATTGGCTGCAGGTCTCCGCTGAACTGGTCAACTTTTTTTTTTTTTTGCAATTATAATGGAATTAATATCAGCCAAAATTTAAAATCCTTGTGCATAGCTGTGCCTACATAACTCAGAGGTCTGCAAGCAGTGATGAAATGTGTGCCAAGGTGTAGCAAAAGCAGTTCTGCCGGTGCAGTTCTGCGGTGACTTGCATTATCAGTTGTGGAATCAGCTGTGCAATGTGGCCTGACTGGGCATAATTCCGTGTGAACATCAGCAGGTGCAGCTTTACGCTACACCATCTGTAGTAAGATTTCAATCAATAGGTTTTGATCTGTCTTTTAGTTTCAATATATATATTTAAGTCAACTATCTGATAAAACTGGCCACAAAGATCCAAAGGGTACTTCATTATCTTTCTCCTCCCTTCCCCGCTTGTTGTCTGTCACACTGCAACCTATTCCAAGCCTTCTAGAGAAGATATTGAGGGTGTACCGAAGCAGCAAGTAAGACATGGATTGCCGATCCTGATAGTCACAGTGGGATCCAGTAGAAGTATACCTGTGAGTACTGGAAATATTTAATCCACAACTGCTTACACAATTTTCACTTGACAAAAGAAAAGGATGGGTTTCATTTTATATGATATTGATACTTACTGGGCTGCCAGCTTGTCCAGGTTCACCAGGAGGACCTTGGTATCCAGGGGGTCCCTAACAGGCAAGATAAATTGTACACCTTAAAAATCACAAGTCACTTCCTTTGTTAGATCATCAACTACTAACCTCAAAACTGATCAGAAACATTCTCCATTTGTGAAAAATCACTTTTTGTGACGCCAAGAAGAAAATGAAGAACATGATTGATTCTAAGCTACTAGAAAGATGCTAGCATGGTAATTAATATTAATCACTAATTATTAGTATTGTTTTCTTTTTACATCAAAATTATATTTTTCAAAGCAATGGCTGAGTTTGGACACAGCACCACTAAATGGTGGTATAACTCTACATGGAGTGAACCTCTGTGAGGTTTAGGCTCACATCTCCTTCTTCCTTGAAGTCTAACATGGCTGCTTTTCATTGTTTCTCAGAATACGAGAGATTGTTTTGCATCATTTCCTTGCAAAACACTTCGCTTTTGCTCATTAATCATTGCCCGGTTCAACCATGGCAACAGGCATTTTATAACAGAAGAGCTACTTACAGGTGGGCCTTGTTGACCAACGGGACCAGGAAGACCAGGTGGGCCAGGAGCTGCAGGTACAAGCTATGAAGAACAGTTTAAAGATAAAACAATTACTTTGAGGTCAAGTGGGTCCACTGCAGACTATTCTAAGAAAGCAGAGTGGCGATGCCAAAACGTAAGCTGTAACAAAAGCTAGTTGGTTTGGATGAGATAAGCAAAATGCAGAATGTGCTTTAACTATATCGTTCTGAAAGCAAATCAGCATTTCAATTAATTTTTAAAAGACCATATTTGTATATGAAAAGCCTGATTTTTAAAGACTGCGACTATAAAGATGTTTTTTTAAAATTACTTTTGGAAAGGGGATTAAAAAGAAAACCACCAACTTGACTTCAACAAGTTAAAGCACTGGAAATATATTTTATAAATTGATGGATAAAATATATTTCACAAGGCAGGAAATGTATACAGTAATACACTGTACATTCCCACTTAAACACTGAGAGACAAGCATAGGAAGAACGTTGTGAGTCACACCCCACACAGGGCAAGAGCCACTCCATTCCATAGTGTGGTTAAAATATCCACTTATTTGCCACAGTTTTTATATTCATGTTTGTGTCATTCTTACCAAATTAGATTAATAACAATGGAATAAATATTATTTGACAGACTTTGCAGTAAAGGAAGAAGGGAAGCTTTGCAGTGAAGGGAAGTCTTATATATGGACCACAGGAAAAACAATTTAGTTGTTCCTCACGTGAGTAGACTCACCTTGGTTCCAGAACAATACATCGTTCCCAACTCTGGGTCCCCAGAGGTTCTTGGATTACAACTCCCAGAAACGCCAGCCAGAGCAACTAGTGACAAAGGCTTTTGGGAGTTTTAGTCCAAGAACATCTAGGGAAATAAGGTTGGGAACCATTGCTCTAGAACCTGTATGTGAGAAAGCACACCTCCTCTGCAGATCTGCCACTTCCCACATATAGAATGCAACCACAGAGAGCCTAGGTGCTTCCTATGACACATGGTGAGTCTCTCTGTGTGAAGAATGACTCAATAAACCAAAAGCTTAGTTGCTGGTTCCATTGTGATTCTAACAACTTATAGAGACGGTATTGTGTAGTGGTTTAAGTGCTGGCTTGCAGCTTGAGAGATGCCGATTGTCATCCCCACTGAGCCATGAAACTGACTGGTTCACCTTGGGCTCACTGTCAGCCAGACCTTCTGTGCAACTTAACCGAGAAGACAAAATCAGGTTGGCAAGAGGTATGTACACTGCCTTGAGCTCAGTAGAGAAAAGGCAGGCTATTAATGTAATTAATGAATACATAATATGACACATGACTTGAGCAAAATCAGAAAATGCACACATTATGGCTCTAAATAGGAATGTTTGACAGGTTTTGTCAGTTTGAAGGGGATCACATACTCCAGTTACAAGAGAGGCTCTTAATCAGTGTGGAAATAATACTTATCAATTAATAAGTGAATGAATAAAGTCAAATTGCATTAACTCATAACTGGAAAATGATATGCCATGTGATGTAGATGATGAAATCAGTGATGGTAGGGTTTTTTGGAATTAAAACATTTCTGATCTCACCTTGAAAGTCTCAAGGCTGCTGTAGGATCCCATTTGTTGTGGGGAAACCATTGGAGGCCATGGGATAAGGGAAGGAGTCTTTAATTTCCAAAAACTGCCTGAAGCAGCAAAGTTATCTTGGTGGTAGAGATTATGGGAAATTAGAGACACCCCCCCATGTCTCACAGACTCCGGTGGCTTCTGCATAAGGAAACGGATTCCATGGAAACCTTGGAGTCTTTGCCAGTGGACTGGAAATGTTTTATTCCCTCCCCCCAAAAAAATCACCATAGCTGATTATATCGTCCACCTTAAGTAGCATAATTTACAGCAACTGGATTCCAGTCGTGGGGTATTCTGGATTAAATCTGATTATAATTCCAACAAGGGTATCAATCTGCTTGACTTTCATAAACTGAGATTTACAGAAGTCCCATAAGTTTAATTGGTCTACTTTAGTTGGGAATCCCTACTGGATTTAGCTTAATCACCCAAATTAATTTTGTGTTGTAGCCTGCATGCGAGGTTATCTTGTGAATAATTGGGTTGGTATTGTTTTAATGCCTGTTGTTATCAAACTTTACAACAAGGAGATAGGATGAGGCAGGTGTTAGATAAATTTATGAACTCACATTCTCTATAGGTTTGGGAGGGAGAATAGAGGTTTTTAAAAAAATTAACACATGATTCTTCCTTGCAAGATACAAAATGTTCTGAAGGTAATATAACACAGTCAATGCTAGAAAAAGTTGAAAGGTAAGCTGACACATAACAATCATGTAGGCAAATCAATGACACAAAGATGTGCTGATAAAGAAATACCTCTTGCGGTGAACTGCTACTATGAAAAAAAAATACTAGATTGATTTCATTTTTCAGGAACAGACTATAAAGATTAATAATTGTCTGTATTTAGCAAAAAGAATAAAACATAATAGAAAAGGAATGATGTACGGAGATTCACCATATGCCACAGCATTTTGGAGGTAATTGTATGGAGTCACTGTGTGTGACCTGGTCCAGTGGTAGCCAGGTGGTGTGACAGTATTCATAATTCAGAATGCCACACATGCAACAACACACCTTTTTTTGGCAGATGTGTGCAACTGCATTTAGGCCAAAGGGAGAAATGGTTCTAGGTTTGGCGCTCCATTTGTAGTTGGTTTGCTGACCCCTGGCTAGGGTTGCTGTACAACAACATCTGGAGGGTTGCAAACCTAATGGGAAGGATAACAGCCTTTTCTCACTGAGAAAATCCTTTGCAGTCAAGGGAACGCTGGGAAGACCTCTGTGTTCCTACACCTGTGACACAATGGCCGTCCCCAAAGGTAAGCACAAAAAGGAGATTTTGGATAGAAAATCCAGTTCTCAGCTGTGGCACCACTGAGCAGTCTGCCTCCAAAAAGCTCAAGGCATTTCTGTGAAACTGGTTGGAATCCCCATCTGGAGTCAGACAAGAGGATCACAAGCCATTTAGCAGTCTAGTACATGAAATGGTGAGGTATTTCTTTCTGTTCTGTGATTCAGCACATCTCTGATGTGGCAAAGAGTGAAATATAAATAATATGAAGCTGCAAGAGAAGGATAAAACGGTAAGCAACTGGAAATGGATGAATGAATTAGAGGATGGGTGATGGATGGATGATGGATGGATGGATGGACGAACACACTGAAAAGAGAAAAACCTGTGAGGAACAGAAGATGAGTGAATATGATGATTAATGGACACAATCACAAATGAAGCAGGTATGAAAGATGTCAAAAGGAAACGTGTGTAGAAAAGGTCTGTTGACAGCACTTTCAGCAGTCCAGTGTAAGGGGACTAGCTTTTCCCACTAAATACATGGCACACCAGCTTCATCCACAGATGGCCAAATCTGCCACACAACACCGCGTAGCAGCCTGCATCAGGTGGCATCATCATGAGCAGTGGTGGGGGGAAAAAAGAGAGACCAAACCATATCTGGAAGTTGCAGTGGTAAAACATTTCACGTTTTGGCCCTTAGAGGGGTGGCGATGGTGGGGGGCACCTGGGGTCTGCTCCATGTTGCCAATTCTCCCCGAGATTGAACTCTAGATGCCTACATTGAAATCACTCTTTAAAACATATCCCCCATTTTTTTTTTGGACTTATATACCGCCCCATAGCGCTACAAGCACTCTCCGGGCGGTTTACAATTTAATTATACAGGCTACACATTGCCCCCCCAGCAAGCTGGGTACTCATTTTACTGACCTCGGAAGGATGGAAGGCTGAGTCAACCTTGAGCCGACGACCTGGGATTTGAACCCCAGGTCGTGAGCACAGTTTTAGCTGCAGTATACTGCGCCACGAGACTCTTTTTAAAAAGATTTATCACCTGGCCTAATTGCAGATGGCTCCGGCCTATGAAGGGCAGGGGGAATGAATTGTCTCCGTAATCTACATATAGAAAAGAGAATTCTATGCTTTGTATTCAGAAGGGAAATTACAATATCTGACAAGGTTTTACCATATCTGAGGGAGTTTCAGGTGCATTTTTATTAAACCAGAATAATTCATGAAAACTCCCTTGACTGCCCCCCCCCATGCATCCACTGCACTGCTACTGATTTCTTTCTTGGGAAGTCTGAATAGCTGTAGATAAGGGGAAAAAACGCTGTACAAGAACTATAAACAACAAATGTATTGAGGTGTTATCAGCCAATATTTGCATTCTGGAAATGAAGACGTGGCCTGGAAAATTGTTCCTTGGAAGGTGGGGGGGTGGGAGGGAAGGGAGGTAGCGGGGAAAAGTGACTGGGGGACAGAAATGAGTGGAGCAAGTGATGAATAAAAGAAAGAGTGGAAACAGATATAACGAAAAGAAAGGGAAGGCATGAGGGGATCAAGTTTTGGGAAGCAGAGAAACAGGAAGCTGAAAATGGAAGAGCAGTGCTGGCAAACGTAGAAAGCAAAATGGCACAAAAGCGAAACAGATATATGAAGGCTAAGCAGTGAACAGCTTCAAGGGATCGTTCAAATCAGGAGGCAGAGCAACATGTCCTGGAAAGTACCGCTTTAAAACATCTTTATGTTCCTAGGCAGTACAGGGACAGTATTCATTCGACAGAAAATCTGTACAAGGGGGTGGAAAACCCAGTCATTTTAAAAGGCCCGCAAGTAGAAGAGAGATGTGGCTGTTTTCTTACAGGGTACGGTCCAGATCCGGACTTGGTGTCATAGGACTCATACTGAGGCTGCAATAGAAAAGACATTGGATACTGAAGTGGCAATTACAAACGAGCAGATCAGTTATGTGGAAGAGTGCATCAAAACAGAACCATTTATGCATATACACCCCAGGTGAAGCAGGTGCACCCCAGCCTGAAACTCACTGGAGACCTCTTTGTGCCTCCAGTCAATTGACCAAGACACTGCATTTCCTTCAAAACAGCTGCCTCGTTGCAATCGGATCAGCCTGGCAAGGTCGACCAAAATGGAGACAACAAATGCCTCCACTAAAGTCCAGCTTCCAGGCTGGTGAAAAGGCCAAGTTCTCTCACACGTATCTTCCAGTATCTTCCCCCTCATCCATTTCTCCATTATTAGTATTGTACCTTATCTTGAGAAACATGTCTTTTGGGAGAGGAAGAAAATGGAAGAGGGTTTAAAGAGCCTTACGTAAGTATTGCTCACGGGTCATACATTGAACTGGTGGAGACAACCATCCAATTGATCTTGGATTTGGATTGGCAGATCTTCGCAGCAGCCCAAAGTTGGGTGGCTTGGTGAGAAGAACTGATGGAGGATGTTCATAGGAAAGAAGAAAGCAGTTTATTGATTATAGAAGTCTGGGAGCGGGAGGTAGAGAGAGATTCCCCCCCCCCCGCTGCCAAATCCCACTTAGAATAATCCTACTAAGTTTATTGAGTCTTGTTGGTCCTCTCTTATGTAAGCCCAATTGACGTCAGTGAATCTATTTTGGTCAGTCAACTTGGGACAAGACAGGATTTAGAAGTAGTTGTCCCTAGATGCCATTGTAGATCAGTGGAATGATGTCTACAGAATGATTTCAACAGGGCGGGGAGCATTTTGGATTTAGATAGATTTAAAATCTGACTCTGAATATATTCAAAACTGGTTCATGAAGGGTACTTGTATTGAACAGTATTTGTGTGTGTTTTGCTTTCACCCTTCATAAATAAGTTTACAATGTTGAAAGGCCCATTTAAAGACTCATAAGAGAGATCATCCAATATACAGAACCCATGAGGTGACTGGCAACACAGGTGTGCCTTAGATCTGAAGTATAGAGTTTGAACAGGGCAATTGCTTCTCAGCTCTCTATAAATGCTTTCTCTTTGTAGGCTTCCCCTTATTTGGATTTGCCATCGCTGCTTTCCAATTTCCTCACCACTTCTGGAATATACATTATACAAATTAGGTTTTTATGAGAGGTTTATTTTCACACTGGTAGACATATACTGCAAAGCAGTAAAATATAGCATGACCTACAGAGCATGTAATAGGCAGCCATGGCTGTCAACAACGCATGCTGCAAAAAAAATGGCAATTTCTTTTTTATTGCTCGAAAAGACGCTTGCCAAATGCTGGATGCGTTTTGCAGGTGTTGCATAGAAGGAGTACAAATGAACACATGGAAATGAAAAGGCCACAGGAAAGGGCAAGAATTTACCCCAGGGAGCTTGACCCTCCTGAACATGCAGTGAGATGAACATACAGTATGGGGTGTGTGAAGGATGTCTACAGGATTTTGTGGAGGCCAAGTCCATCTGCACTTTAAATAGAGAACAAAATGTTTGCCACATGGCTAGATGTGGCTGAACTCCACCTGTCATCAATCCTAGGCCCAGGATAGGCCCAAGGTAAGGCATAAACTCTAGGCCCAAGTCGAGAGATTTAGTGTAGTCATATGCTTGCAGACGTGGATTTTTTTGGTGTACTCGTTGAATCCTCATGCATATACACAGAAGAATGTATTTGCAAGTTATGGTGTGAATGAACAACACATTCTTCACAAGCAACATCTGTGTATAAATTTGAGGTCATGATCCGATGATCTCTGATCAAGAAATTAAGGTGATATAACCATCCATATCTGAACAATGTTCCTCATCGCTTTATAGCTTACTGTCAGGGCCAATTGGCTGCCACTGCAGATGGAACATAAATGTCTACATCCTTACCAACCTCTAGAAAGCTTTTGCGGTGGAGTGGGGGTGAAGAAAGGAAAAAAGAGTGTTTGGGCCAGATGGCACGTGGCTGAAGATGAGAGAAGATTCCTGAGGGAGAACATTCATAGTTATGAATATTGTATAAGTAAATCCTATGTGTACTTCCTCAGATATCCACTTGGCTTATGCCCAGGCTCTCCCAAATATGCAGGTACACTATAGTGTTGTGGTCTAAAGCTTACTTCGAAGTACTACTGATTTCAGTGGGGCCTGCCTCCAGGTAAGTCTGTATCAACTTTAAATCTAACAGGACTATCTGATACATATTTCCTTGGAAGTGTTGCTGCTCTAAATGAGAATGACTCCTCTGTAACTGTGCATGGGATTGTTCTGTATGTGTTAGACATGCCTGTCACGATGTTACCTTTCTAATAACTTTCTCATGGTTGGATGGAAACTGAGTTTGGAAAAAGGTCACTGCATTGCCAACAACCTTTTCCAATTCTTCCAGGAAGTGACCCTACGATCCCTTGGATACTACTACCATGTTTCCCCAAAAATAAGACATGATCTTATATTAATTTTTGCTCAAAAAACCGCATAAGGGCTTATTTTCAGAAAATGTATTTTCCCCCAAGTACTGTACAGCCATCTACATTTCTTCAAACACAATCATGTCATCTTCTTCTGGTTGCTGCACAAGGGTGGAGGGCGGGGTTTCACTTAAGTGGGGCTTATTTTGGGGGTAGGGCTTATATTATGAGCATCCTGAAAAATCATAATAGGGCTTATTTTCGGTTAGGTCTTATTTTCGGGGAAACAAGGTACTTAGTTTTAGCTGTAATGATGACCTGTGGCAAAATGCTATTTTATGGAAGAAGAGCAAAACACATATTTCTAAGTGTAAAACGCATGGACTATTTATTTACTTATTATCGATATATCCCTCCTTTTCCCTAAAACAGGACCCAAGGCAGCATGCAGTATTTAAAAAATAAACAGCATTAAAAGGAAAGAATCATAAATTATTACAATATTTTAAAAGAATTAAACACTAGATAAAAACAGAATTAAGAGCACATTAAAAGCAACAGAAAACAGTCCCATTTTAAGAACAATAAACCCAGACATTCAGTTACTATGAGAAAACCTTCTTGCATGCAAAAGGGCAGCAAAGATGGGACCAGCCTGGCCTCCAGTGGGAGGGAGTTCCAGAATTTTGCAGCAGCAACACAGAAGGCCCTCTCCTGTGAGGGTGGTGAGACTGAAAGAAAGCCCTCCCCTGACGATCTTAAAACCTGGGCAGACTCATAAAGGGAGATGTCTCTGAGACAGCTTGGGCCCAAGCCCTTTAGCGCTTTATAGGCTAAAATCAGCACTTTGAGTTGTCCCTGGAAACAGATTGACAGCCAGTGGAGCTGGTACTGTATAATGAAGTACGTGTGTGAGAGAGATCCCTGTAACCAGTCCCAACTAACAATCTAACAGTTATTCTGCTTACACAGAACCCCAAACTCCAGACTACAGATGGGGTATTCGTATACAAATATGAATATCTCTGCACAGGTGGCGTTAATGAGGGTCCTGCCCCATGAAGCCGGATGGTCCACTCATCGATCAGCTGCAGACGTGGATGGCACGATTCTACCAATGGCTCCACAGCACGCGACCCGCTCACCACTCCTGGCAGGAGGCGGGAGGACAAGCCACCCTGCAAGGCCAAAGAGTGGCGAGCGGATCAAAAAGCCACAGAGCCATTGGTAGAATTGCGCCGTCCGCATCTGCGTCGGATTGGCCGTTAACGCTACCTGTGTCGGGATATTTGTATTAGTAAACAAATACCCCCATCTCTACTCCAGACCATCTCTCCCAGCAGGTTCATGTAGATGTTAAATAGCACAAAGGACAATACAGAACCACAGGCTAATAACCAGAGCATCGAACAGGAATCTCCCAGCACCATCTTCCAAATGTTCTTTCCAGAAAGGCCCAGAGACGCTATAAAACAGTGTCCCATAACCAGGCCTGAAGCCAGATTGAAATAGATCTAGATGATCCATCTCATCCAGCAATCCCTGGAATTGAGAACCACAGGGAGATACATTTGTGTAATACATTCAGAGCCAAACCAAGATGGGAGAATTACTTACTTGTCCTCCACCGACACTGGGGCAGTTTTGGCAGACTCCGGGCGGTCCAGGGTTGCCTGGGGTTCCTGGCTGGCCAGGTAGACCAGGGGAGCCATTTCTTCCAGGAGTACCAGGTGGACCCTGAATATAATTCCAAGAAGGAAAAAAAAAGGATGTTAAAAGAGAGAGAGAGAGAATATCAGGCAGTACACGTTCAGACTCCTTTTCCTTGAGAGTTCTAATGCAATGCTCTAAAAGGAAAAAAGAAATGTGCGTACTGGATTTGCACATATGCAGAAACAGACATTATGTTTGATACTACCAATGGTATACCTCAAGTTGCATCTTGTCTTTAACAGCCGACGAGTCCAAACTTTTGTATCAAAGACTGCTATGATGGATCACTCTTCCCGTTAGCTCCCGCACACTCCTTGCTAACGTAGGGAACAGGCTTGGCCCCAAATCCCCGCGCAGCCTTTGGTTACCCATGGAACTTTCACTAGGATGTCCGCTTCGGCAAGATGTGAACAAATGTCTGGTGAATGGCGCTTTGCCACATTCAGGGAGGAAATGTATGCCTTTACAGAACATTGCCTGAACTCCTGGTGCAGGAATGATTTAAACATTGTGCAGTCAACTCTGGGTTCCTGTCCACATGATACCCGATGACTGGTATCCAAGTGAACCAGCCACTCAACCAACCTGTTTCCGTGTTGAAGTACCTAGAGCTGCCCCCCAGCTTCTCATGCCTCAAATGGAATTCAGAGGGGCAACCTCTGAGCCAAAATGAAACCTGACATGCTTGTATGAAAGCAAGTGGTTAAGTTATATAAAGAAAATAACAACCAGGAGATACCAGGACTTGGAAAGATTCATTTTTCCCCCAAACTGGCAGCTCCTGGAATTAACTACTCTGCATGGCCGCTAGCTAATCTGCAGTCCAACAAAGTAATTTGTCAAGGCTTTGGCAGAAATACACTGGCAACAGAGGCGAACTGGAAGCAATGAAAGGAGGAGGGTGTCACTGGCTTCCCCGTTATGCCATCCCACACCAACGGATGGGGGGCATGGAGACAGGATAGCAGCAAAGGCACCATAAATATACATCCCTGTGTCTACTTTCAGTTGGTGGGCATGGCCCTATAGCCTCTTTGCTACACTAATAAATGTGTGCTGCCAAGTTGATTGTGACTTATGGTGATCTCTTCCAGGGTTTTCTAAGCAGAGAATACTGAGAAGAGGTTTGCCATTTCCCTTTTTGGGGGGATGCCCTGGGACCATGCAGCTTGTCTAGGGCCACATAGGCTGGCTCTTCTTCTGGTTGGCTATGCTCCATCCAAAAACATATTTGGAATTAAAACACATGCATAAAAGGAAATTTTAGGGTAAAAAGCATACAAGACCCTGACTTGTGTGAAACAAATACTCTACCAATAATATGCATTTTTATTTTCGGTTAAAATTGTAGTTTGCAGGGGAAGTTGCAACAAGCTTGTGAACCAATATACTCAAAAATGGCATGAACTGGAACCATAGTGCTCTGTTCATCCCTACCACTAAATGACTAACCAGATTGTACCCACCACTGTTTTTCTGCTATTAGGACAGCTACTGATGATTATGATGAGGCAGAATCTCTCTCCACTGCACCCCCCCCAATACCCCAAATCTGCTCCAGAGGGTTGAGACAGTGCTAGAACAGATGTGCAGGTAGTTCATTAGGGAGGACAGGAAAATGAAGCCCTTGGCTGATCAAAATCACTTTGTGTGATGGTGGCTATAGACCATATAGCAGTGGTTCCTAACCTTGGTTCCCCAGATGTTCTTGAACTACAGCTACCAGAAATCCTGGCCAACACAGCTAGTGGTGAAGGCTTCTGGGAGTTTTAGTCCAAGAACATCTGGAGAACCAAGGCTGGGAACCATTGTCATACAAGGAAAGCTGAAATTAGATAGTTTCAGATTTTCTCAGTTTTTCCAGTCCTAAACTGGCTTATTGTGACTTTTGCCAATTTTATTATCTTACAGTTCATTGTCCCAAACCTTGTCATTCTTTTCTGTAAAGTCTGAAAGGGCACACATTTTTGCAAATATATACACAATTGTGTCTGTATCTTTTGCTAGCATACACTTTTTAAATGTTAATTGACCAGATGCACACTTTTTTGGTGTACTGTTTCCTGATGTCTGATTTTTGTTCACCTTTTTTCCCACTGGGGAACTCCATTACAAAATTCAGAGAGGTGCACATTTTGAAATATTATTGAAGTTCAGTTTAGGTATTGGTTTTGCTGTGCAAAATCAAGTAAGATCAAATTTGGTTGGGAATGGAACTTGTTTCTCTCCCACGGCTAGTCCAAATGAGGCACAGTTATGGGTAATAGGGACAGGAGGTGTTCTGTACAGATGAATATGATATTCAGCTGGTCTTCACCTGAAGCCCCAAATGGCTTAAAGATATGAAGATTTGTGCCCTTGGATTAAGCCAAGTTGCAGCTGGAGACCAGTGTTGGAAGCAAGCGGCTTGAGTTTCCCATTCATGCCTTACATTCGTGTCATTGGGAATCCAGGCTATTCTTGCAGGGGTTTTTTTAATGAGATACAAAGGCATTGTGGATTCATTTAATGTTGATTGAACTTACAGGATCTCCCCTGGGGCCTTGAGGACCTTGTTGTACAGGACCAGAAGGATTAGGCTAGAAGAAAAGAAAAGAAAAATAAATGCACCATTCAATTACGTTAAAGTAACTGAAATAACAATCAATACAATAATCATACACTCAACCCAACTTTCAGTTCCATCTGTCAAAGACCAGCTATAGAAACAGTTGGTGTTCTATAGACTCAATAGATGGCCTTTGTGAGTCTCTTCGAGGTGCACAAATCCATCCGAAGATCATCTAGAGATCTCTAAGGAGATCCTGACCTATTGTCCCATGCTCCAGCTATGTATCTCATGCCATCCTGTTCATTGGAAGGAGTACATATGTTTTAATGTAAAGGCAGAGAATTGCCCAAACATGTCACAGCAATATTAGAAAAGATTTGCAAGATTAAACTAAGGATAAGTTATTATAAATTGGGATTGGGTGAGAGAAGGCCAACGAGCAGAAGTCTATTGCAGATTTGGGAAGAATGGTGGTTTTTAAAAAACTCCAGTTTCCTGGGAGGTGGGGAATTCTTTCTAGTTTGCTTCTGTTAGCCTCTATCCTTTATGTCCTCATTACGTGCTCCATTGCCTTGTGCAACTCAGAAGACATATATTTGCTGTAGGAAGCATGCTTCACTCCTGTTTGCTCCCCACAGTGTGAAACCCCAGAACCTCAGTGTTCTAAATGAAGTGAGAAGTCCACTTGAGGAGAGCAGGCTCCCCATTACAGATGTTCACCCCCAACAGATGGAGGTCTGTGGAACTGGCAGTGAAAAAGACACCAGGAAGAAGAGCAGGTTCAACTTTATTCTTTCCCTCCCACAGCAGAAACCGCATGGCCAAGTCATGAAGGAGAAGGAGAATGTTAGAAAAGGCTTACAGCCCATGCAGAGCAATGGACCTGTTGCATTCTGACTTAATAAGTATGGATAGTAAGTATGGACTGAGATGACCATGGCTAGTACTGCCATTTATTTTTTGTAGTACTTTATGTGAACTTGCAAAATGTGCAAATTTAGAATATGTTCAGATTTATAGTTGAGCAGAGAACGCTAATGTATGACCATTAGATTGACATGCAAGCCAAGTCATTTCAAAACTTCTACTGAACGCTGACAGATTCACGAGCGGGGCCTGCTGCCACCATCACTTCCCATTCTCTCCCCTCGCGTTGGCAAGTTCAACATACCAGCAGTATGCTTAAACTACATCCCATTGCTTTTATGTTGGCCCTGGATTAATTTTAGTTGGGTTGGAGCCCTGGAATTAATGGAGCTGTTGGCACCCAAACCAAGTGGATACGGCTTTTGCACACAGAAGATCTGGCATCAGCACATGGCATAACATCTTTGGGCAATCTCCAGGACATTAACAGAACTTACCACTAAAATGTACTTTTTTCATTGCTCACACTACTCCAGAAAGATTGCAACTTAACAATTTAATTTTATGTGCTTCAGTCCACTTGAATAATTATGACAGGATCAGCATGAATTTCAGCACTGAATCACTACTAGTTAGACTAGTATTTGCATTCCCTGTTGCGTGCCCAGGTACATGACTGCTATGTGACAGGAAATGCAGCCCCAACATTGTCTTTAGCAGCAGTTCAATACTGAGATTTATGCTGATTGTCCTATCACTAACAGGTGTTAAGCAAAAAGATCCTGTCCATTAGCTGTTACTGACATTATTAAAATAGGGGCAGGGGAGGCGTGGACATCAGATTAACTTAGTATACAATGAAAAAACTGAAGTTCTTAAGAAACACATTTCATTTTGCAGAAAAAGTGATTATAGATATTTGTGAAATGGAGAGGACTCCATTTTATGACATTTTCCACTTTGAGCCAGACATAGGTTTTCAGCTTGGCTTAGCTGAGAGAACTTGAGTCCTTAACATCAATTTTGTTCCAACACCACTATAGGAATGTTCCAGCTGAAATTCACACTTGGCAAGGTCCATAGTGCACAAAATGGACTTTCTCTTGGGGCAGAGCTCAGTGTTCTTTGGATGCAAAGTTTTTTTGGCCTAGGCAGATACTGATGTTTTCCAAACATTGTTTGTATTCAAGAAAATAACAAGCCCATCCTGACCTGGAGGCACACAATCGCTTATGGCACTTTGTCATTTCTAGCAAGAACAGATTAGTTTGGGAGATTGCTGTGAGACTTCCTTGTTGACATTTGATTGGAAAGCATTGGAAAAATAATCTCTTTCCACATATTCTGGGGCTTCCTATTCTAACATTCTATCAACCCAGGAAGTCCAGAGGTTTGTGTTACATGTTAAAAGGGAAGAAGTGAGTCTTTCAGGACCTCTATAAAATAGCCAGCTTAAATGTGGGGAATGTCTTTGAAAAAGTTACCATTTTGGATCAGAGCTATCTGAATCTCCACCATCCATGCTGGTGAGGAAATTCTAAGAACTGTGCTCCAGAAAAGCAACTTTTAAAAAATTTGGTTTTACAGTTGGGTGTATTAGCTGCAACACGAGCTAAATTTATGAAGATTCCTACAAGATGTTTAAATCTCTGGCATGGATTACTTTTCCTCACTTGACAGTATTTCATGCGGGAAAGTATGATGAAGAAAGAAGGGATTGTCTGAGAAAGGGAAGCAGAGGAAGAGCAGACATGAGAAGAGGAATTGGGGACCACCTCAAACTTTTGATTCTGCCCTACCCATGTTGGGGTTCAGTTACATCCACTCTTGGGTTGTGGTCCTTGACAGACATCCCCAAGAGAGCGCATCAAAAGATTCCACATCCATCCCAACTAATTTGGCCTATCTGAACACTTAATACCACAAAGCCTAAATCAGTACTGAATTATGTTAAATATTTTACACAAGAGTTTTAAGCATGTGCTGATCAATAACAATATCCGGCAGCTTTACCCAAAACCCTATTGAGCCTTAAATAATTGCCTGGAATCCTATTGATGTTCACATAAGGTTTACATAACTTGTCACAGCTTACTGCAGCTAGCTGATAAGGTACCAGTGTGTGTGTTGATTGCATGCCTGGTCATATGCTCCAGTGTTCAATTGAGATGTGCACCTTGTCAATTAGCTGCAATTACCTTGGACACCTTGTCAATTAGCTGCAATTAGCCAATGCAAGTTATGCAAACATTACCCAAACACCAGTAGGATTTTAACCATTGTATTTAAACTAATATGACCCTTGGAAGTCAATAGGATTATCAAACCAGTTTAAATGTTGACTTAAGAACCACTCTCATAGGAAAATATTGACTTGACTTACATACTTAGATTTGAGTTAAGAACTGAAAAAAACCCACGTGGGAGGCAGGGAAAGTGCAAAATTTGAACTTTCAGTTAACTGTTGGCCAGTGAAAAGGGTGCCTGTCTGCTTCCTCACTCCTCCCAGCGTTTAGAGAGTGGATTGGGAGACAGTCTTCGGACTGCCTGGTACTGTACTGCCTGGACTGTATTTTCCCTGCCTTCCCTGAACCTTTCTTGACCTAAGAAAAAAAGAAACAAAATATCCCCCTCTAGTGGTCGAAGGCAGAATAGCAGCTTCCCATTAGTTTCTATGGAAGGAAAAGAGCAGATACGGATCAAATGGTTCTCAGTGCATTCCTATGAGAAATGCAGATTTGACCTGAGAACTTTTTGACTTGAGAACCGCCTTCCAATACGGATTAAGTTCTCAAGTCAAGACCCCACTGTAATATGACCATTGGAAGCCAATAGGATTATTAAACCAGTTTAAATATTAAATTCTGAGCTTTAGCTGATTTTGTATGCTCAGGCTGCACCAACACATTGAAGTTTAAACAAACTCTTACAGGAGGGGTCGTTGGCTGCGGACAAACTGGGCAACATTCTCCAAATGGAATTTCCGGATTGGGGCAATCTAATTCCTGTTCATCGCATATGATGTCATCACAAAGAACAGATCCTTGGTCACACACACAGATTTGGCATGGTTCTGGTTTCCACACATCCCTGTCGGCATACACTTGGCCAAGGTGGGTACATGCACCTAGGACAACTGGGGAGAGAGAGAGAGAGAGGAACAAAGAGGAAATGTTACACATTTGGTGGACATCAGTGAATTCAAAATGAAAGATCATACAGGATTATCCATTATCCATATTTTATGACTGGTAGAGGGGAGAGGAACCTGTGGCCCATTCACATAAACTGGCCCACTGGGGAGAGATCTGAGCCCCAAACTGGTCCACAAAGCTTCAAGCTCACTCCCTGGTTTATTACAAGCACAAAGGTAGTCACTAGGAATGGAGAGTTTAGCAATTTCAGAGGAGGTACAGTGGAATGCTTTGCTGTTTATTTTTCAATTTGGTTCTGAATCAGTTTTTGTAAAGCACCAAATTAGGGTGACTTTCCTGAAGAGCTTGGATTAAGACAAAATATGAAATAAGAAGACCAGCAACTAGGCAGAGTAACAGGCAGGCTAATACAGCAGGAGAAAAATATACCGTAATCCCTTGGATTTTTCCATGTAAAGCACAAGAAAATGGCACATTAAAAAGTGGTAAGTTCTCTTCACATTGGTTTTAAAACTACAAAAGTCAGAACTTGATAACTCTAGGAAACAGAACACGTTCAGAACATTAAGAGAGATTGAACTGACATGTCTGCAGCACGAGGAATATGCATGAGCCTTGGCTGATACACTCCAAGGAGCACCACTACAAGAGGCCACCTGGCTGAGAGCTTCCTCAGAGATGGTCCTGACCACAATACAGGACCTTTCTCCAGTTTGAAAGCACAGTGAGCTGTAGCAGGGTGGTGCAAGCATGAAAAAGCACACTTTGGGGAAGAGTCGAAGCAGAATTTGCTGACAATATTTCCAGTCTTACCAACATCAACAGCAAAATCTCTCATTTATCTCTTGAGACAAATAATGCTTGCAGGGGATTTTTTAAAGGAAAAAAATAATCAACGAAGCATTTCTAAGTAAACAGTAAGTAGAAATGAATAATGCTGTTCTTTTAAAATGTTAATGCATTTTAAAATGAAATGTAAACTTTTAAAGTACATCCGACTGCTTGAAGGAGGGAAGTAAGTTTCAGTATTTGAAAATATATATATATATATATGGCACCATTATTTCAAACAAACAAGCAAGTAAATCATTTTTTCTATAACTTGTAATGGACATGGTATATACAACACAGAGCACATCACGTTTACTTTGGAAATAGTCAAGTAAGGTGAAACATGGCTAGAATGGAACATTGTCTCTCTCTCTCACACACACAGGGAAATACAGATACTGTTTGTATATTTAGAACACTACTATGCATTTGTTGAGGCAAAGCCCCTGAAAATTGTCCTACACTGCCCTACGACATGCTAGCCTTCCAGGGTTCTGGCTTGCATGGAGGGAAAAAAAACACTCCCCTTTAGACCCTCTCTGTCCCTTTTGTTGCCATCCCAGAAGGAGGGGTGGGCTGTGGTCCTTCCTCATGTGTACTGTAACTTTTTTACAGATCCCCTGATGAGGCCCATAGCTAAAGGCTCTGCCTGCAGCATATTGTAAGCAGACTACAATTCTAGATACAGTCACCTGAGAGCAAAACCAAAAGAACACAAAGGATCTTGCTTCTGAGCAGATAATACATAGGATTGCTCTGTCAGTTGTTTACAGCACAATCTTACATGTGTTTACCCAGAAGCAAGTTTCATTGAATTCAGCAGCACTTAGTCCCAGGTAGTAGTAGTAGTAGTAGTAGTAGTAGTAGTAGTAGTAGTAGTAGTAGTAGTAGTAGTAGTGGTGGTGGTGGTGGTGGTGGTGGTGGTGGTGGTGATGATGTTTTATTACAGTCATTGACCAGCAAAAGTAAGGAACATTATTTAAATTAGAAGACATAAGTCTCAGGTTTTTGGCAATGATGGGCAACTTATGATCCTCCAGATGTTGGACTTCTACATCCATCATCCTGCATCACCGGTTGTGCTGATGAAAATCGCAAGCCAACAGCTCCTGCAAGACCACAAGCTGCACATGCCTGGTGTACAGGATTGCAGCCGCTGGCTGTAGCTCAATGTATATTTAACTCAAAGAACTATCTCATTGAATTTGAGGATGTGCCTAGGATTGTGTTGTAAGTTTGCAACGTCTTGCCTTGTTTTGATTAGTGAAACAGGTGTGTAAGTTGGAACTGACTGTGAGAGCATAACCCCAAAGTGCACTCACTCAGATAGCAGTGCCACTGTGTTTAATAATAAAAATCATCATGAGCCCTCAACTCAAATCTGACTTAATGGCGACCCTTTTCAGGGCTTCTTAAGTAGAGAATACTCAGAAGTGGTTCAACTTTCCCTTCTTCTGTGGCTACCCTGGGATTGTGCAGCTTGCCTGAGGCTGCACAGGTTGGTTCTTCTCACAGGACGCACAGTGGGGAATCAAAACTCCCCACCTCTGGCTCCACAGTCAGATCCCTAAACCAATGAGCTATCCAGCCACTGTGTGTCATGACTACAATACAGGCAAACAAGAAAGCACAGGGCTAGCCTTGCTCCTTTGACCATGGATATGCCTGCTATTCATGCCTTCAGCTATCATGTGACCATGAAGGGCACTCTTTGGTATAGATATAGAGAGTTTCCCCATACAGAGGCAGAAGCCTGAGTGTAAGAAGTGCTGGGTTGGATCTAGGAGCTGCCTTGTGGGAGATGTCTTCACTTGATTTTCATGGATCTTCTGATCCTGTGTATAGCATTTTCAGTCAGGAGGCCATGAGGAAGACAGTGGAGAATTTGTACATGGCCTAATCTGAGTCCAACCGACTCTACTCTGCAATAGAAGGATCCTTAGTCAGCTTGCAGAGACTAACACAGCTACCGCTCCTTCAACTACAATTATAAGATCATGGCAGACCTTCCTAATTCACTAATAAATATTTCTTAATTGTCAGGACAAGAATATCTTGCAGCTTGTGGCTGAAAAGAACAGCACAGATGTTTTGCTCTTTTTCCAATAACATAATAACTATTCACCAAGCATTAGAATACAGGCCCTCGTGGGTGTTCCAACATGACAACTCTTCCATTTGGAGCTGGGCTGCATTGATGCCTGTAATCTTAGGCATGAATCGGGGTGGGGTGGGGGGAGAGAATCCAAGTGTTTCGAAACTTGCCATGCTGATGTTCTTCTGTGTTTAAGTTACGAGGAGCCTGGAATTGGATGTCTGTTTTCCCAACAATGGAATACGCATAGGCAGAATGTCAAAATGAAAGAAACAAGCCACACATGACAGCAGGAGTGAATTAGTGGAAATAAAGGGGGAAAGCCCAAAATCTTGTTAGTGATGCCTGCAAGCATAATGCAAATGACATAACCTCTGGAAGCAAATTGCCTCAGATTTTTTAAAAAATTGTCATGCACATTGTGTGTTTCACAGTGAGGTGCACAACATGGTGCTCAACAAATTCTGTCTATGGTGATTTCTTTGTTTGAAGCCATTCACCTCCAGAAGTCACTCTGCTTGGGTGATGCCACCATAAAATCCCAATAGGGTTTTTGCCAAGGAGTACACAAACTTGCTGAAAAATTATCATAATCCAGAAAGCTTTTCCTCAGATGAACACCTAAGTAATGCCTGAAACAGATGCTTATGTTTTTTAAAATAATGCTTATGGTATAAATAGGGTAGCAGGATGAGGTCCCTCCATTCCAAACTATTTGATGGCCTTTAACATGGAAACAATGCTGTTTTATTAGTCTCTGCAGGAAGCAAGAGGGGCACACCTTCCTTCCGCAGAGGTCTGTGGCCAAGTTCCAAGCACAGTCCAGGACTTAAGACTGGAGATGGACTGTTGAACTTGGATCAGAGAAAATTCCTCAGTGGTTTCAGTTTCAGCCTAACCATAATCATGTAGGGGACAAAATATTACCTCATAAACTTCACTCCCCATAGATTAAAGGGGGGGGGAGAAAGAGTGGGTGGGGGAAAGATAAGGAGAGATTGAAGGAGATGAATATATATAGTTATACTCTCTTTCTTTCTCTCACTCACTCATGTGTGTGTATGTGTGTATAACTATATGTACCCCTTTCTGTGTATTTTCCATGTGGCATTTATATGGCACTCCAGCAATCTCTCCTCAGTAGAAAGGTTAGCTCTGCATTCATGCTTAAAAAAAATTTCTGCCCAACATTTTGTCCTGATCAATTTGGTACCAGATTACAAATTCAAAAGAAAGATACAAACACTGAGAGCAGAACAAATGTAATCCATCAATTGAAGTGCTCTGAGGTGTTCTTTTGTTTTAAATCATGCCTCTACTCTGTCCCATTCAAATAACATCAACATCCCCTCCAGAAATGATGTTCAGGACACCATTGTTGTCTTTTGGTCACCCTCCTATATTTTCCCACTGCTTCTTAAGCTTTTTTCCCCTTGCTGTTTGGAATACTCATAGCGAAAAACATAAAACAAACAGGCCATTTTATGGCCCTTTTACACTCAGGAGGCTGTTTGTTATTTTCACTGAAAATAATGGAGAAAAATTGAAAGTGAGCGAGGGACGTCTCTGCCTGCAAAAGACTCTCGGAATAGGAGAAACGTTTGAATAAACACATTATATCTGTCAATGAAAGCTATATTTTTAAAAAAGAAAAACAACCTGAATTTAGTAGTTACAGTCAATAGAATGGAAATAAGTCTTTGGTCAGAGAATTCTCTAGAAGCCTTGCCATTCCCTGACAGTACAGTAGGTGGTGTTATTGGCCAGACATAAGGTGGTATTGCACAGAAACATCTGGATATAATGACTTCCAGCCTTGTTTCTAACTTTCTGGAGATCGTTAAGGGCTAAACTGGAAGTGCTATGCTACAAATCTTTGTGGGATTTGGCAGAATGAAAGTAGTAAATACATTTTTTCCAGGAAAACTTTCCATCTGGGTTGATTTGCCTGTTCGAGAAACCCCTGCTAGTTTAAGATGTAGATCTCTGTGTCAATTCACTATGACATAATGCCCCGTACATTGCGTATAAAGATTTTTTTTTAATGTGAAAAAC